CCTGTGGGGCCCCCGCTGCTGGAGGGACCCATGGGGCAGCCACCCCCCCGTGCCAACCCCTGCCGAGAGGGGCTGGGGGGGTTCAAATGAGCCCCACCCCTCCCCCAAAGCAGGGAGGGCAGGCGAGGGCAGGCACAGGCAGGGGCTGCACACGCACACACAGCATCTGCCTTTGGGGAGGGGGGACAGGATACGGCCGCCACCCCCCAACCCTGGGGAAACTGAGGCACAGCGAGGGGCGTTTGCTAACCGGAGGTCTCTGTTTGGCAGAGCTGAGACGGGGCCCGGCTCTAAGCACCAGACTAAAGCAGAGGAAGACAGCGAGCCACGTCTGCGTGCCCAGCAGCGCGGGCAGCACCCGGCTGGGGCGGCACTGTCCTGCCTGCTCGGGGGTGCCCAGGCTGCTCCCACCCTCAGCCAGGGCAGCAGTGGCTCCAGTGCTGGCGAAGGGGGAAGCCTGCACCCCACTTCTCGCAGCGCTGGTGGGGACCCCCCCAGCTCTCCCGGAGCAGCAGGATCTCACCCTCCCTGCCCAGGGTGCAGGCAGCAGCTGGCACAGGCAGGGGGCTCCTCGCCAGGGCTAGGGCTGCCCCTTCCCTCTGCACCAGGAGCCGCATGCGGGGCGGCCGGGCTCGTCCGCCAACACACCGAGTATGGGGCGGGGGTCCTGCAAACACACTCGTGGGGACGGGGGGAACAGAGAACTCCTGGGGACTGAGGGGGGAGTTGGGGGGCGGCCGTCTCCAGAAGGCAGCAGAGTAGGCAGAAAACATCCCCATCCAGTCCTGGCTCTTGAGCCGGGGCAAACCCTGCCGTGCCCAGCCAGCCCGGAGGCGGGGGGGCGGCCTGCCGATCTCCACCGTGATGTTGGTGTACATGGGTTGGCGCGAGACCTCCACCAGCCGGTACTGCAGTGAGCTGATCCCGTCCCGCTTCATCGTCATTTTGGTGTTCTGGATCTTGGTGAATCTGGTTGAAATGGGAGCAGGATGAGGTGGGGGGGGACCGGGGGGGCTTGCCACGGTGCCAGACCTCCGTGGGGGTGAGCAGAGCAGGGGAGCTGGTGGCCGGAGGTGGCCCAGCAACCGCCCAGCATCCCGGCTGCCCCTGTCCGCTGCGGCTCACTTACCTCTGCGGGTTGGGCTCGTTGTGTTTGTCACGTTCGTGCTTGATCATGCGGTACCTCCCGATGCGGATGTCGGGCCTCGACACCTTCATACCATTCAGGGAGATGCTGGGAGGCAGAAGCAGGGGAGGGATCAGTGTGCGGGCACCGGGGTGGGACATTCCCCGGCCCAGAGACCTCCAGGGTAGCCCCTGGCCCAAATAAACCCATCCCTGCTTAAACAGGGCTGTGCCAAGCCAAGCTGAGCAAAGCCAGACCACGGTCGGGCCAGTGCCACGACCAAGGGTGCCACATGCCTCATGGTGCCCGAAGCACCGCTCCCGCCCGGCAACCTCCGGCTCAGCAGGCCAGCAGCTGCGGCCAGTCTGTGCTGTTTACATTCTCCAAATGCCAGTGCTCGGCCCTTCCCTCGGGGCCGCGCCCACACGTTAAGGGCTGCCTGAAGGTCTCCCAGAGCTCCATACACTACGTGTTCCTCACCCCGAGCCCACCTTGGATGGAAACCGCAACCGCGCCACCGTGCCCGTGGCACCTGCAAGGGGTGTTTTGCTCACGCGGCCATTACAGGCTGGTGGTGCACCACCAGCTGCACGCTGCTCCCCTGGGCAGCGCCATGGGGAAACCTGCGGGAGGCGAGGTGGGAGCCGTCCGGCTCCGGCACCCAACACGGGGTGCGCATGGGGGGATTCAGCTCCAGCTCTGCACGCAGCTGTGCTGCGGCCTGCCGGCTGCCGGCAGAAATGTCTGCTGAGCTGCTGCGCGGCCGCCACCAAGATGCTTCCAAGTTTTGCATCCCAGCCCTGGACGCTTCCAAGTTTAGCATCCCGGCCCCAGCCTGGAGTGGAGCCCGCAGGCGCACCTCCCCGCAGGCGCAGCTCACACTGCAGTGGGAGGGGGCTGGGCCCCACCACGCCAGGGCTGTTCAGCTGCAACAAAGGCACGTGGGTGCCCCCCAGCCCCTCAACACCCTGGGAGGGTCCGGTTTGATCCGTGAGGGTCACCAACCCTCAGGTTGGAGAGTAATTAAATCCCTCCCTGCCCCGTGCACGTCCCCCGCAAAACCGTGAGCCCCGGCACTGGTGAGGGTGCCAGGTCAGTGCTCGGTGGGGAACCCCAGCACACCCCAACCAGCCGGCGCTGGCAAGGGGTTGGCACCTACCGGTTAAAGATGTCATCGTCCTCTCCTCCCCAGCCCCAGTACTCGTTGGGAAAGCCGTTGATCTTCAGGAACTGGGACTTGCTCAGCCCAGAGACACCACCAAAGTAGCCAGCGTAGGGCAGCCTGCAGGGTGACAGCAAACAGGTCAGCCCCCAGGGACAGGCAGGGATGGGGGTCAGCCCCATAGGGACCCCCAGGGACAAGCACTGGCCCTCCCCTGTGTCACCCTCCCACCCAGGGCTCTGCGCCCTCTCCCATCCCACATCCACAATTCGAGCCAGCGACCCCATGTCTGCCCCAGGCGACCACCAAGGTTGGTGGCCCGGGCATCATCCCAGCCCTGCCCAGGGAAACACCCCAGCCCCACAGAGCACCCACCTGAACCCAAACTTGTCCATGCCAACGGCAAAGTGCCGCGGCTGCTCGTAGCAGCGATAGAGGTTGCGGTCGTCCATGGGGATGAGGTCCACGTCACTGAAGATGAAGCAGTCGTACTCCTCGTCATCCTTGAGGGCCTCCAGGAACCCCACGTTGAGCAGTTTGGCCCGGTTGAAGGTGTCTTCACCAAACTGCGGGCCAGAGCTCAGCAATGCCCGCCTGCCCATCCTGGCCCCGCCACCCCCTCGCCGCTGCCCCCCTCACCTGGTTGACGATGTAGATGCCATAAGCCACCTTCTGCCGGCGCAGGATGGGGTGCAGGTAGTGCAGCCAGTACTTGAGGTGGTGTTCACGGTGCCGGAAGGGGATGAGGATGGCCACCTTCTGCCGGGGCAGGCAGTCTGGAGGGGTGTACTTGCCGCCCTGGCGCACGTCAGGGTTCTCCCGCTGCACCCGTTCCATGCTCATGGGAGAGCTGAACTCGATGAGCAAGCGCCCGACTGCAAGAGGGAGGGCAGGGTGATGCCCGCAGGATGGGACACAGTCCGGGTCATGGTCACCCGCTGCTCCCAGACAGGCCGGTGGAGCAAACAGCGAGGGGGACTTGCAAGGGGGACCAGCACTGCCGAGGGCAGAGGATGCCCAAAACCTTTCCCAAACAGGGGCAGAGAGACTGGGAAAGCCGCTAACAAAACCTGAAGAAACCAGCTGTCCTGGTACCAGTTCCAGGCTGGGGTTTCTCCACTCCTCCACCCCCGGAACCACCAAGAAGCCATGCCCAGGGCCCAGGGATGCCACCCATGGGTGCCCACCCCATCCCCATGCTCAGAGCCAGAGCCCAACTCCCCCCTGCGCTCGCCCCACATGTCTCACCTAAGCCGGGAGGCATCTCCTGGCAGGGCTGCAAGGGCTTCTCGGTGGCAGACTGGTTGGCGCTGGGCTTGGCGCTGGGGGACGGGGCCTCACCCCCGGCCGGCCCGTAGCTGGGGACGGTGCCGTTGGGGCGGGAGGAGTTGGAGAAGGGGTGGGCACGCGAGGCATTCCTGGCGTTGAAGCGGCTGAAGAAGTCCAGGTGCTGCGCGTAGACGTCAAAGTAGAGGATCATGATGATGACGAAGTGGAGCAGGCAGAGCAGCAGCACGGCCTTGCAAATCCTTTCCAGGGTCACCCCCAAGAGCAGCCTGGTCATCTTCTGGGCATGGGCAGGCGGACATGTGCGCTCAGCGGGGCAGGGGGGCGGCTCCAGCCACGGTCCCGATCCTGTTGAGACACCCCACGCTCAGGACACCGCCAGCCTGAGCCCCCCAGCCTGAACGACACCAGGGCAGCAGGAGCAGCACAGGCCTGATGAGGAGGTGATGGGCTTGCAGGTCAGTATGCCAGAGAGCACCCCATGGGGATGCTGTGCTTGGACCCCTGCTGTGAAGGCACAACCATGAAGATGCGAGAGGTCCCCAGACCCATGCAGCAAGTCTCCTCCCCACTTTCCAAGGCCAAGACCAGGCCAGACCCACTCCCCATCCCTGTCACCCCCCAAGCAGAGGATGGGGATACCCCCACGGGTGCCACAAAGAGCGTCCATGGAGGCTGGGCCCTTGAAGGTCACGCTCTGCAGCAGCACGGCCTTGCAAATCCTTTCCAGGGTCACCCCCAAGAGCAGCCTGGTCATCTTCTGGGCATGGGCAGGCGGACATGTGCGCTCAGCGGGGCAGGGGGGCGGCTCCAGCCACGGTCCCGATCCTGTTGAGACACCCCACGCTCAGGACACCGCCAGCCTGAGCCCCCCAGCCTGAACGACACCAGGGCAGCAGGAGCAGCACAGGCCTGATGAGGAGGTGATGGGCTTGCAGGTCAGTATGCCAGAGAGCACCCCATGGGGATGCTGTGCTTGGACCCCTGCTGTGAAGGCACAACCATGAAGATGCGAGAGGTCCCCAGACCCATGCAGCAAGTCTCCTCCCCACTTTCCAAGGCCAAGACCAGGCCAGACCCACTCCCCATCCCTGTCACCCCCCAAGCAGAGGATGGGGATACCCCCACGGGTGCCACAAAGAGCGTCCATGGAGGCTGGGCCCTTGAAGGTCACGCTCTCCAAAACACAGCCAGCCTGGGGTGTCCCAGGGGCACCGTGGGTGCCCCCATCAGCCACCCCTTTCCGAGGCACACCGTTTCCCTGCTCCCTGTCCCAAACCCTCCCCACAGCGCTGCACCCCAGCAGCAGCACTGAAGCGGGGCTGGCAGCAAGTGCCATGCCGGCAGGAGCCCTGCTCGAGGTGCCCAGCGGGGCGAGCAGCTGCATGGCAGACACCGAGCCAAGCCGAGCGGGATGTCCTGGCCCCCAGGCAGGGGTCCCTGCTGCATCCAGGGGGGTCCAGCTTACAGCCAGCGGTGCAGGTCCTCTGTCCTCCTGCTGCCGGTGGTGAGGCCCCCCGGGACGTCAGGAGCCGCTGGGAGCCAGGGTCCCCTTATCTCCCACATGACACCTGGAGCTGGGCCAGAGCCCTGCTGGGAAGGCAGCCGGGAGAGTCACCCTGGCTGAGCCAAACCATCCGGCCACATGACACATGACACCTGGAGCTGGCCCTGCTGGGCGGGAGAGTCACCCTGGCTGAGCCAAACCGTCCGGCCCTTCCCAGCTCCGCCACTGCCAGGGCTTGGGCCACAGCACAGCCATGTACCCCAGTTCCTGCCCCGGTCCCTGCCCTGGTCCCCGCTCTCAGGGAAGCTGCTAGGACAGGGCAAGGCAACCACGAGGGACAGGCATGGGGGCTTGAAAGGCCCTGGGGACCCTGGGACAGGCCAGTGCCACTGCAGGGACCCTGGAGAGACCCCAGCGGGTGGGGAGCTGTGGCAGGACCCCCCAGCAGGAGCGCAGCTAGGACCCGAGGGTGCTGGCAACCGGCCCAAGGCCTGGGGCCAGCCTACCGGCAGCTGCCAGCCCGGGTCGGTGGGGCCCCCCGGGGAGCTGCAGGGCACCGAGCTGGCAGTGACAGCAGCACCAGCTGGGCACGGGGATCGGAGCCAAAGTGCGAAGCAGGACCCCCCCACCCAACCCCACTCCGGCTGCCCTCTCCCAGCCACAGGGCTGACCCCAGCAGGCCACGGGGTGCTGGCAGGAGCCCACGCAAGGCAGGGAGGTGCTGGAAAAGGCTCTGAGCCCAATGCCCCACTTGTGTCCACCCTCTCTCTCTGCAGGATGCAGAGCAGGGTCCCCGTGGGCAGGGTTCTCCTGGCACGCCCCAGCACCCCAACCCCTCATCCAGGTTTTTTCTAGAAAGTCGTTTTTTGAATAAAAGCCGGGTTTGCCGTTATCTCCCAAACCTTCTCACAGTCACGGCACCCCATCACCCAGCAGAGCCCTTGACGTAGGGACCTGCCTGCCCCCCAGTGCCTGCCAGAAACCCTCCCCAAAAACCACAGCCCTCGCAGCAGGCAGCACGTGGAGTGGTGGTGTCTCGACAGCCAGGCGGGGAGGTGCTAGGGAAAAATAAGAGCAGGTTTTAGGGACCCTTTAGTGGGGTGGTCCACGAGGCAAGCGGAGAGTGATGCTCGACAGGAACAAAAGCGAAGCGCTCCACCAAACAGCGGCCACGGGACGCCATGAACATGAGTGGGCTTAAAAACACCCGCTAAGTGGGGGGCTACAAAATATGATGTTATCCCCCCCTACACCGCAGCATCTTCGCAGGGTGTGAGAGGCCGGAAGCAACCTGGGGTTGGGGAGCTGGCCCCCAGGGATTCACCCCGGTGTGGTGTGTGCCATGGTGATGCTCGTTTTGGAGGGAATGCTCATCCCCATGGGCTCCATCCTTCTTCCCGCAGGGCATCCCTAGGCCAGGAGAA